TGTTTGTGTAAATTTATAACCATTGAGCTCTTCAACACTTGACGGTAAGTCTACTCCATACATAGTTGCGTCACCACACAAGCATCTCAGTCCAATAGATCCAATCACGTTTGGCATATAAACACTCTTCAAAGAACAACAATCGTAAAAACAACTGTAACTAATAGAAGTGACACTTTGTGGGATTGTGATGCTACTTAGATTTTTGCACCAAGAGAAACAATTATTACATATACTTGCCACATTTTGTGGGATTATAATACTACTCAGATTTGTGCACCGAGAGAAGCAGTACTCACCAAGAGATGTGACTGTTGGTGGAATCTCTTCGCCAAATTTCATTCGGTCGTATTTAGTATACGTCACGTTTTTAAATAATATGTTTTTGCCTCTGTTTTTGACAACTGTCCTGTAATTGACGTTAAACCAAATAACTATCTGGAAAAACTCCTTTGTTACTCCATTTTCATCTCCATTTGATACATCTTTGTAACTGTCATTGGTGTCCTGTTCGGTATATTCGTATGGTTCAACATATAGTAAAATTGAGTTGCCAAATGTTTCGCCAGTATTATAATATAGATGAAGTGTTTCAATGTTTGGAAAGTATTTGATTGTTTCTGTATAAACCGACACTGGGTTGTAATGAAACATCTTCATGATGTTTTTGAACTTTTTGCAGACCAACACGACATTATTAATTTCATATTCATATTCACATTTAAAATACCGTACAACTATCATCATATGGTATCTATCAAGTTTACTCATTTTTTGAATTATCCAGTGATAATTGAACAATTTTAAATATATTTTTATGATTTTTTTTTGTTAAATTCCAACTATTAAAATATAGTTCTTTTTATAAAAAATCAAATGATTATTTTCTGTTTCGTTATTATTTTTTTGTTAAATAATGTGTAAATTGTGAGGATTGAGAAATTATTTTTTTTTATTTGATATCAAATTTTGTTGTTTTTAATCAATGTTGTTTTATATTTATTGTTTTAAATGTTTACAAGTCAGTACTAAACCCTGTATTTATTGATTGCTATTAAAATAAATATGTTGTTTATTATCTCAAACATTGTTTGTTTAAATTATAAAAAAATATATTTAAAAACCTCAAATTCACATTTTTGTTTATTAAAAAACATTAACTTAATTCCAATTTTTAACAATCGTTTGTGTCATATCTTTAATAACTTTCATATTCCGTACAATTTTTACAAAATTTAGAATCATTAACCTTTTTGAGATTTGTCATTTCTTTAAAGTTATCGATATGGATTTGATTAGGAAGATCCATTTGAACAAGTGAAGTTGGTAAATTCAAATGTACTTCGTTATAACAATTTAAGTACATATAAGTTACATAATTGAGAGCTCTTAAGTCTGCATTAAAATATTCTTTTTGA